TATACAAGGCACTGGTGAGACCTCATCTGGAATATTGTGTGCAGTTCTGGTCTCCTATGTTTAAGAAGGATGAATTCAAACTGGAACAGGTATAGAGAAGGGCTACTAGGATGATCCGAGGAATGGAAAACCTGTCTTATGAAAGGAGACTCGAAGAACTCGGCTTGTTTAGCCTAACCAAAAGAAGGCTGAGGGGAGATATGATTGCTCTTTATAAATATATCAGAGGATAAATACCAGGGAGGGAAAGGAATTATTTAAGCTTAGTACCAATGTGGACACAAGAACAAATGGATATAAACTGGACATTAGGAAGTTTAAGCTTGAAATTAGATGAAGGTTTCTAACCATTAAAGGAGTGAAGTTCTGCAACAGCCTTCCAAGGGGAGTAGTGGGGGCAAAAGACATATCTGGCTTCAAGACTAAGCTTGATAAGTTTATGGAGGGGATGGTATGATGGGATAGCCTAATTTTGGAAATTAATTGATCTTTGATTATTAGCAGTAAATATGCCCAATGGTCTGTGATGGGATGTTAGATGGGGTGGGATCTGAGTTACTACAGAGAATTCTTTCCTGGGTGCTGGCTGGTGAGTCTTGTCCACATGCTTAGGGTTTAGCTGATCGCCATATTTGGGGTCGGGAAGGAATTTTCCTCCAGGGCAGATTGGCAGAGGCCCTGGGGGGTTTTCGCCTTCCTCTGCACCGTGGGACAAGGGTCACTTGCTGGAGGATTCTCTGCACCTTGAGGTCTTTAAATCACAATTTGAGGACTTCAATAACTCAGACATAGGTTAGGGGTTTGTTACAGGAGTGGGTGGGTGAGATTCTGTGGCCTGCGTTGTGCAGGAGGTCAGACTAGATGATCATAATGGTCCCTTCTGACCTTGAAATCTATGAGTCTATGAGATGTGCAGTGTCCTCAACTGTACCACAGCTATACAGAGGGCTGTTCTGAGTCCCCAGGTATGGTCACTTGTGCAAACCTTCCCCCCCGCCCCCCCCATCTGGAACAGTTGCGCTTTCACTAGAGACTGTGGCAGCGTGAAGCCCGGCACCCTCTCCCAGTCTGAGTGATGAGGAAGGAGTTTCTGACAGAAGGAGCAGCTCATTGCCCTTCTGCTTGCCACAATGGGGCAGCGTCCGCTGGCGAGAATGTCGAGTGTGCTGTAGTTGACTATTGGGATGGGATGCCGGGGAGCTGCCGTAGTTTGCTGGGCTAGAGAATAAGCAATACAAACCCTTACGCCTTGGCAAATGTTAAAGTCCATTTTACAACTACCCCTGCTCAAAAGAGGGAGAGACTGAGGAGGTGTTTGCCGTCTCCAGAACCAAAAGCTTCGGCTTCATCCCATCTCCCTTTTCTTCCTGGGTGACCAAAACCCTCTCTGTCTCTCTGCTTGGCTGCGAAACCTTCAACTTCCCACTCCACTCTAAGGGATTTCCTTAAATTATCATGGAGGCTGCGCTTTGTCCTGCATCTGAGTCCTCCCGCTTGGACCCCACGCCAAGCACTTTGGCGCGGAGCGCACCGCTGGCACGGGGCTCCGTCCAGCACCATTCCCCCTCACTGGTGCCTAAGAAGTGGAAAAAGAGAGCCCCCCAGCACTGGAAGGGAAAGGGGCTTTGGGCAAAGGACCGATGTCAGGCCATGTGCCCGCCCCGAGGCTTCACAGGGGTACTGCTGAGGTCAGACCCCCCCCCCCAGCCCAGCCACGGATCTGCCTCCAGGGAGTGGCAGGGGACCCCCGCGTCTCCCAGGGCCCTCATTGCCTGAAGCGGCCCCGGGGGCTAAAGAACAAGTAGCCGACCGGCACTGCAGGCGCCGCATCAGGCGGCAGACTCAGCTAAGACCCCAACATCTAAGGGCAAGCTGATCATGGGACCACCTCGTAGGCAGTGGAATGCCCTCAGTAACCGTACTGTCACCACAGCCTTGGACCCCAGCACCGTATCCTAGGTCACTGACTAGAAGGCCCGGGTCTTCGACGCGCTCTCCACCTGCAAGACATGGGACACCGGAGTCGAGGCACCAGTCCCCGTACCACTGATACCGGCGAACTTCCCATCAGAGATCGCTGTGGCCCAGGTCACCTTCGCCCAGACGGTTTCCCGGATGTCAATCCCCGCCCAGGGTTGGGGGGCGCTCCTTGTCACAGCACCGATCCCTTCACCCTGCTGCTGTTTGTCAGGTAGGCGCCGTTCTTCGAGTGCTTGCTCATATCGATTCCAATTAGGTGTGTGCACGCCACGTGCACGATCGTGGGAGAATTTTTACCCTAGCAACACCCGGTGGGTCGGCTGTGGAGCCCCCTGGAGTGGTGCCTTCATGGCGCTGGATATATTCCCCAGCCGACCCAGCGCCCCCTCAGTTCCTTCTTACCGCCCGTGACAGTCGTTGGAACTGTGGAGCACGGCATAGCTGTCCTCCACTCTCCCTAGCTTTTAGATATTGTTGTAGTTATATAGTTATAGATTTATTGTAGTGCAGTAGTTGTTAGTTATAGATTTAAGTTTATAAGTGAAGTTAGCGGGCTGGAAGGGGTCCCTTCCTCCCGGCGTGCCGCCCGGGCTCATGCCCAAGGCTCCGGGCTTTAAGCCATGCTCAGCCTGTTCGAGGCCTATGCCAACAGGAGATTCCCCACGACTCTTGTTTAAAGTGTCTCGGGGAGTCTCAGCAGACCGAAAAGTGCAAGATCTGTAAGGCTTTCAGGCCTCGAACCAAAAAGGAGTGGGACTTTAGACTCAAACAGCTCCTTATGGAGGCGGCCCTCAGCCCGGACCCTCCTTCGGCACGCCAAGTTCCGGCACCGAGTGCCTCAGTGCGCAGTGCTCCGGCGGCGACTTCCAGTACTGCACCACGAGGAGACGCGGATAGAGTCCCACGGCACCGGCCTTTGCCAGCACCGCATCCTCCGCAAGCACCTCGGCGCCGGTCCCTGTCCCCAGGTCAGAAGAGACCTCGCAAACCGGAGGGGGCTGCCTCCCAACAACAGGCACCGGCACACCCCTTACCAACCTGGGATGTGCGTCCGGGACCGGAGCGACCGAGGATACAGGCGCCGATATCGACACCGTTGACTCCGGCACCAGCAGAAGGGCCATTGAGTCTGGTGCGGACTGGCTCCCCGACCCGCACCGTCTTCCATCGACGCAGGAGACGTTTGCGACGGCGAGGGACCGCATTGTCCTTACAGAACCGGCACCGACTCAGGCTACGGTACTGCATCCCACCCGTGTGGTGCAGTCTAGGGGCAAGCCAGCCCTATTACGTTCACTATCTCCGAGCGTGGACTCTCGGCACCGCTCCCGATCTAGAAGTAGGTCCCGGCGCCGCTCGCAGTCCCGGCACCGTTCTCTATCACGGCACCGGTCGTACTCGCGACCCAGATCTTCCTCCCGGTACCGTTCCGCCTCGCGGCACCGCCCCGGACCTTGGTACCGTTCGGACTCTCGACGCCGCTCCCGGCACCGGTCAGAGCGCCGATCCCGCTCGAGAAGCCACTGCCAGCACCGCTCCCGCAGACGGTCTTCATCGCGATCCAGGTCTGGATCTCAGTACCGGCATGACCATCGGCAACATTCTTGATCCCGGTACCGCTCCCCGGCACCGCGTAGAGACCGCTCTCCTGTGGGCCAGCACCATTCGGCACCGTTCCCAGCGGAGTCAATGCACGCACGCTCCGCACTGCCCTGGCCCTCACAATCCGCCTCACGCTCTTCCCAGTCAGATGGCACCTCCCGCTCAGCCTATCCCACACTGGGCCAAGCAGCGGACAACCTGGGTCACTGGCAGGATGAGGCCGAAGACCCTAGCCAGGAGCCTGCACAGTGGTCTTTCTGGACCCCGTGGGCGTACCACTAAGCCCAAGGGGTTCCACCTGCGGCCTCCTGCTCAGCACATTCAGAGTCCCGAGTACTGGAGGCCACCATCAGTCGTTCCCCCCTCGGGGGGTATGGAGGCACCTGCGCCCACTCCTAGGCAGGCCCCAGACCCCGGTACAAGTGATCCTGAACATCAGGGCCCCTTGTAATTGGACCCGCCACAGGATCCATTAGCCCCGGTAGCATCTTCCTCATCTTCTCCAGATGAGGCGGTGGCGGGGACAACGAGCTCGGGTCCCCCCACCCCCCGATAGACCTACGTGCTCACCAAGACCTTTTACGTAGGGTGGCAGGTAACATGGACCTCCCAGCAGAAGAGATAGTGGAGTTGGAGGACCCAGTAGTGAGCACTCTCCTGTCGATCACTCGTTTTCAGACTATGGCAAACATCATCCGCAGCCTCCAAAGCTTCCCGACTTCCACGGTACTGACTTGCCTCGGCCTTCTGGGGCACATGGCGTCATGCACTTACGTAACCAGGCATGCCAGACTTCAGCTCCGCCCGCTTCAGGCCTGGGTATCAACGGTGTATCGTCCGGGTCGGGACAGCCTGGACATGGTGGTCACGGTTCCGGAGTCCGTTGTGTCCTCCCTCAGCTGGTGGCTGAGCCACACGTTGGTGTGCGAAGGGAACCATTTCACGCCCCACAACCTTCCCTATACCTTATCACAGACGCATCATCTCTGGGCTGGGGCACCCATATCGGGGAACACCAGATGCTGGGCCTTTGGACCGCATCCGAACTAACTCTGCACATCAATGTACAAGAACTGATGGCAGTAAGCCTAGCATGTCAGGCGTTTCGCGGTCTCCTACATGGCTGTTGTGTGGCAGTCCTCACAGACAACATCACGGCCATGTTATCTGTAGAATCAAGACTCAATTGTGGATTGATTTACACTTAATGTACATTTTAAAAGTTTCCACAAAACCATGGGGCTAGAAACATTGTTTAAATGAGAGATTCTGGAGCACAATGCTGCAGCCAGCAGGGAATTTCATGGCAAATTCTATGGCTGTGGAATTGCAGAACACAGACCTGTTACTAATGCTCCTTTTGCCTCCCCGTTGCCTATTCCGGAGCACTATGCTTTCACTTTGTTTCGCTTTCCTAGGTTCTGGAGAAGGAAGCTAAGATTCAGGAGCTGCAGGAGATAATCACAGACCTTCACCATGAAATTTCCCTGAAGGACTCGGAGGCAGTCAATCAACTGGAGGAGAAGCACCTGCTGGAGACCACAGTGCAATCCCTCAGGCAGATCGTAAGTGAAAGCTTTCTCTGCCCTCCATTGTCTTTGGTTGCATTTATTTGCAGTGTGGCCCCAATCAACTCCCTTCATGCTATCGCCTGTCACTTTCTCACCTCTTTTACCTGGGCTTTCGTCTTTTCCCTGTAGAAGCAGGCTTGAATTTAACTCCATACAAATAAAGTATCAGGAGCTGTAGCATTCTGCAGCTTGGGCCTTCCCTCTCTAGAAACGTAGGTTCTCATTTTCAGAGGTGCCGAGCATCCATAATTCCAGATGAAATTTATAGGATCTGAAACTTTGCATCATCACTTTTGAAGATCAGAGTGTCTGTCCTCTTCAGAACACACCTCATCTCTTCTAGCTTGAGCTCCTCCTAGACGATACACATGCTACATAGCTAATGCCCCAGCTAGGCACTGGAGGCTGCTGTGCTTAGTAGCCTGGGCACACTCTGTAGTGATCCTTTTGGCAGTGGCCAGGAAGACAATGAGAGTGATGCTGATCGTTCTGGTTTCCTGCAGCAAGAGGGAATTTCCCCATGGTCCTCACCAAGTTAGACTGTTTCAGTGCTGCTCAGCCCATCCTTATTTAGTTATACAAAAAGAGGTGTGTGTCTGAAAACCCTGGGTGTCCCGCTGCGTTAGCCGAACATATCAACTACTTGCTAACCAAGCATCCACTCCCCAACAGCCCCAGCAACTCCCCGGTAGCAGACCAGATCAGAACGCCCACTCGTCATGCAAATCTTCAGCTCCATCAAGTGCCTTTCTCAAAAGACTTGGCTCCATACTAGCTGATAATGACAGACCTCAAAGGCCAGAGTGTGAGTTCAGAGCCTTAAGATCACATGTCATGGTGAGGAGGGATGTGCGTGTACGCATGCAAGCATATCATAACAGTATATTGTGACGGACTCAGGCCAGAAGGATATAAGAGGGTAGTGGAAGGCAGGTAGATCAGCCTCAGAATGAGCAGAGCCCTGTTCCCTGGATAGACAAACAAGGGCTACCAGGCCAATCAAGACACCTGACGCCAATTTAGCCAGTTAAGGTCGTTAGGCTAATGCCGGCACCTGACCTCAATTAACTGACAGAGGGTCAGGTAAGACTGTTAGGCTAATGGAGACAGCTGGAACCAATTAAGGTCCCACTTATACTGCTTTAAAAGCTCTCCTTTCCAGTGCTCTCGCGAGGAGCCCAGGTGAAAGTCGCTGGAGGAGAGGAAGCATTACTGTACCCTGAGGTAAGGGTGAAGCTTGGAAAAGGGGAGTACGGGGAAGTGGCCCAGGGAATCAAAGCAGCGTCAGTCGAGGAGGGAAGCTGCTAACAGCTGCTATCATTAGGGTCCCTGGGTTGGAACCCGGAGTAGAGGGCGGGCCCGGGTTCCCCCCTTTCTTCCTCCCCTCCCATGATCCACAGAGATCCCTTTGAAAGGGGAAACAGACTTGTATCCAGGCAGGAGACCAAACTGTGCCTAAGGAGCTCTAAGGAGCAACAGAGACTGTGGGTATTCCTCCTTCCCACCTCCCATACAGGCCTGTGGTGAAAGTAGCTCAATAAGCTGTAACCTTTGCCACCTCACTGGGAAAGGGAGGTCATATTGAGGGCCTCAGTGAGCTTCTGAGGCCACTATATCTGCCAGGAAGCGCGGGACCCACCAACACAGGCTTGGAGCTTTGTCACAATATTTATTAAGTCAGGTCATTATTAGTAATGATTACTCGGGTGTAATCACAGAGCTGCACAGCACCTCACAGAACAAAGACCAGCTCTGGGCCTGAGTCTCCCCTCTTTACTACCAGATCAGAAGGACTACACAAAAAGAGGGGTATTTTACACCCATTCTGCACAGGAATACACAACTGCATAAGGCATGGAGAATCATGCCCAGAGCCCCTGCCCCCAAAGAACACCAGCAGGAAACAACAACACAAGGGGTTCTAGGACAGAGAAGACAAATGCACCTTTGCATCAGAGGGAAATGCAGTGTTGGGTTTTGGTTTTTTTATTCTCTCTGTTTTTTGTGAAGTTTCTGTCACCTTGGGCTTTAGGCAGTTAAGTTAGAGCTAATGTATGGTATTGGGCCTCAAGTGCCACAGATTGCAGACATCTGGTGCTCTCTAACCTTGAGTTTCTAATATTATCACAAAAAACTTAAATTTGCCAGTGAGAGGAACTTCAGAAATTTGCCAAAATGGTTTGTATGTCTCTGTGGCAGCCATTGTCTTCCCCTGCTGCCCCTGGATCATTGCAGGTGCCACTTGCACTGCCCATCTTCCCCCTTCCCTGGACCAGCACGCCCATGACCTGTTTCCCACCAGTCACCCAACCCAGCAGTGTTACTAGACAGGCACAACAGGGAGAAACAGGTGAAAGGACTTTTATGGGAGACCATGCAGGGTAATGGATTAGGCTTGGGGTGAGGACTCAGTCATCAGTTTTGGTACTGAATTGTTATATGACCTTGAGCAAGTCACTCATCCTCTCTGAGCCTCCATTTCTTCATTTGTACAAAGGAGCTGCTAATCTTGTGGAACATGGTTACATGTTGGAAGTGTCAGGGTCGATGGCGTGGAACTAGAACTCAGGACTTCACAGCTCCTGGCACTGAGCTCAAGCCACTTAGACGATGTTGATTTTAGGGCATCCCACCACTCCAGGAGAAGAGAGCTTATGAAGCATGTGCCATGTGTGCTCTGGGACTTTCATGGAACTCCTGACATGCATGTGAGCCACTAAATGTCCACTAATGAGCCGAAGGTACCTGGCCCCACCTAGGCTGACAATCAGTAGTTTATAGACCAGTCCATGTTTGGAGTGATCTGATGGAGGCCCTAGCTTTGTGGGCAGACTGACTGCCTCTTCTATTCCTTCTTAGTGCTGGATGGCCCGAGTTCAGTGTCTGGAGCTGATCCTCTCTCTTCTTCCTGCAGATATTCAAAGCTATATATTATTCATGGTGACTGGCTTTGTTAAACGGTCCTAACTAAACAGTTGTTGTGCACCTTGCAGTGCCTATTTTTATATTCATTTCATTTTGTTCTCAGTGTGCCATCGATTTTATATTGAATATATGTTCATTGTACAGATTTATCCAGGGGGAGCAGGGTAGGAGTCTGTTGGGTTTTGGGTATCTAGGAAGTTGTGGAGATGGTTTGGAGGTGGGATGGTTGGGGTTGTGTGGAATAAGCACACTAGCTGGCTGTTTCTCGTGAAAGCATCAGTACTGAAATAAAGTTGTCATTAGGTTTCACAGTGAACAAGCTAGTGATATTAATGAGGCAATTCATATCTTTTGGAGTATGGTTTCAGGCTGCCTGCAAACCCCAAAAAAGGATACTATCTCCATTTATATTCAGCCCACATTGTTATAGGTTTCCTCACAACCAACAGACTAGAAACATTTCTCTTGGACTGACATCAACTTGACAGCATTTCTCTGCTTCTCTGTCTGGAAAATGATAACTTTTGAATGCCAAAGCTACGCAAGTCCAAAATTTTAGGAAATGTTCTAGTTATCAATGGGCAGATCCCTATTGAATTTGGGGAAAATCAGAAAATCGAAAGAGGGAAATGTGGGACACAGAGCCCCTGGCATCTGGTCACTAGAGCGATCAGCTTAACTATGTCTGTGATTGTCTGTACATCACAGATCTGTTAGAGAGACAAAACGGGTGAGGTAATAGCTTTTGTTGGACCAACTTCTGTTGGTGAGATGGACGCGCTTTGGAGCCACATGGAGCTTCTATGGGTCTGAGGCTGAAGAAGGGCTCTGTGTAGCTTGAAAGCTTGGTCAAATAAAAGCACTAAAGATGTGCTAAAGATTCATATGTCCCTTCATGCTTCAGCCACCATTCCAGGGGACACGCATCCATGCTGATGATGGGTTCTGCTCGGTAATGATCCAAAGCAGTGTGGACCAAAGCATGTTCATTTTCATCATCTGAGTTAGATGCTGTGATAAATAAAGTGGGGGGTAGCTCCCTTTGATGGACACCCAGCCAGCCAGTTAACTGTAAAATCCCTCTTGGTAGCTGTTCTCTACTTGCTTTACCTGTAAAGGGTCAAAAAGTCCCCCAGATTAAAAAAAAAAAAAAAAAAGTGGGCACCTGACCAAAAGAGCCAATGGGAAGGCTAGAACTTTTTAAAATTGGGAAAGAAACTTTCTCTTTGTCTGTTGTTCTCTGGGCTGCAGGGACACAGAGCAGCAATGCTATACGCAGGAATGCTGTGTAAGCTTTGAACCAGGTATGAAAAATTATCTACCATATCTAGAAGGAATCATTTGGATAGGGAATGTTTAGATAGACGCGATCAGATTTATTTCTTTATTTTGGCTTGTGGATCTCCTCTGGCTAACCCCAGATGCTTTTGTTTGCTTGTAATCTTTAAGCTGAACCCCCAAGAAAGCTATTTTGGGTGCTTAATTTTTTTGAATTGCTCTTTTTTAAAATCTAGTAAAAGCCTAAGTTCCAGGTGTATTTTCTTCATTTTTGTTTTTAATAAAAAAAAATTTTTAAGAACAGGATTGGATTTTTGGTGTCCTAAGAGGTTTGTGCATATGCTGTTTGATTAGCTGGAGGCAACAGCTAATTTCCTTTGTTTTCTTTCTCAGCTCTTCCCCGGGAGGGGTGTGTGAAAGGTCTTGAGGGTACCCCAGAGGGAGGAATTGCCAAGTGCTCCTTGCTGGGTCCAAGGGGGTTTTTTGCATTTGTGCGATGGCAGTGTTTACCAAGCCAAGGTCAGAGACAAGCTGTAACCTTGGGAGTTTAATACAAGCTTGGAGTGGCCAGTATTAATTTTTGGAATCCTTGCGGGCCCCACCTTCTGCACTCAAAGTGCCAGAGTGGGGATTCAGCCTTGACAGATGCCACCAGCAGAAGGTTGATTTTCTTTTTTGATGGTTCGGGTTCTGTAGTTTCCACATCAGAGTGTTGTTCTTTTAAGACTTCTGAAACCATGCTCCACACCTCGTCCCTCTCAGATTTTGGACGGCACTTCAGATTCTTAAAC